TCAGCAGAACATAACGCCAACAGGTTCAAACCTTTAGATCCATTCACCATTTCCAGCATCCATTTTCTCCTCTCCGTTCTTGAATCCCACATCCCATCTCGATAACCAAGCTCATATGGAAGGAGGACGAGCCGGAGTGCAGCCTGCCGACACCGAGATGGCCGAGGCAGCCCAGCAACCCGACCCACAACACCCGCAGCAGCATCCGGCCCCGCAAACGGTAGCCGGCGGGATGGAGAGTATTCCGGCTACGCTTAGCCACGGTGGCAGGTTCATACAGTATAACATATTCGGGAACATGTTCGAGGTCACTGCCAAATACAAGCCCCCCATCATGCCCATCGGCAAGGGCGCCTACGGCATCGTCTGGTACTGTGCTCTATCCCTTTCCTCTTCCTCTTTTAAAAAATTTATTTCTTTTCCATGTTTCTCTCTTACCCTTTATGTGTTTCTTTGTGGGCCTCTTTTTAATTCGTGTTATTTGTTTCTTCCTCAAAAAGAGAGTTTTTATTGACAAACATGGAGATTTGCTTTGTCATTTTTATCGTTTCTTGCTCAATATGCATTTCTTATTTATGTTTATATGTGTAGTTTCTTTGTAATTGATGAAGGAATTTAAGGGTATATTATTAATTTTGGGTGATAGTATAGTAGCATGGTATAGACTCTTTTATTTTAGGGTGTCAAGGCAAAATCATGAATCATTTGATTGAAGTAAGGAAACATCGAGGAAGAGATAATCATTATGTTTCTGTATCATAGGAATCTGTTAAAGTTTGCTGAATAGTGAAAGATTTTGGAATTGGTCTTTGGTTTGTTAGGAACTTTGTTGATTTTGTTTATTTGTTATGTGGTTTACTTTGTTTTTAGCTCGGCTTTGAATTTTGAGACAAATGAGCATGTGGCGATAAAAAAGATTGCAAATGCATTTGATAACAAGATAGATGCAAAGCGAACACTTCGTGAGATAAAGCTGCTTCGACACATGGATCATGAAAACGTCAGTGAGTGTAAATTGCTTATCCGTTGCTTCTTATAAGCTATCAACAACCAAAAAGAGCTATAAATTTCCTCTCTTATTATTATTATTTTTTTCGTTTATTCATGTTAAAAGTTTGATGGCATTATTATACATAAGTGAGTAGTATTATTCCATGTTAGTTTTCAGTTCATTATTATACTTGGGGATTGCATAGTAACTCTAGTTTTATTTATAAGTTGTTCTCATATAGCCTTTGTTTACGAAGACTACTTATGCATTTGTGTTGACTGTTTCTTAGGAGATTTAAACTGTACATAATTCGATCTTTTTTTCTATAATTAAAAACGAGAATGTGCATTGTCAAGCATAACTGATGATGTAGAATTATTTTCATAATCCATGTGTATTTTGTAACGTTGCTACATAGGAACCTTCCTTATGAAGAAGACATTAGTTGAGATTTTTTTAGGTAACCTTTTGGTTTGCTAGGCCCAGTTTTTCTGTTTGGGCTGATATAATTGATAATGTCATTTCCAGGATTATACTATAATGTAGTCTTGTGGCAAATTAGTGAAATTTTGGTAACGTTATTAGTCGGAGATTTGATATCATGAGTGATAACCAAGCCATGTTGTAATGCAATACATGGTAAATTCACTGAATCTATTGGTGGTTATGGTATTGTAAAAGCTCTGTTCGTTTATTTGTAATACCACATAAAATTGATGATATATGTGGTTTTGGTTACAACTTATTAATAAGACGTGGTTATTGTCTATTTTGTTAGGCTTGATGTGTGGTTTTTGTATTGCCTGTGGTTATCCATAGTTTTTGGATATGCATACAGTGCAAGCTATGATATTGCCTTAAGAAAATGAGATCAATCCAATTTCTGGTTCAATTTCATGCAGGTAGTTGCAATCAGAGATATAATACCACCACCACAGAGGGGAGCTTTTAATGATGTTTATATTGCATATGAGCTCATGGACACTGACTTGCATCAGATAATTCGATCAAATCAAGCTTTATCAGAAGAGCACTGTCAGGTCAGACATGCAGATTGATTGCATTAATTTAGTTGTACTCTTTTGTCTTTCTTTGCTAGCTGATAATATTAGATTTATGCTATTGCAGCTATTCCTTTTCTATTGAAGCTCATCTCAGATTTATGCTATATTCCTTAGTAGTTCTTTTTTTTTTTCCTTTTTTTTTTTCTTTTAATGCCCATGTCCATCAGGTATAATATCAAATTAACCACTTTTTATTGTTCTTTGCAGTATTTCCTGTACCAGATCCTACGGGGATTGAAATATATACACTCTGCAAATGTTCTTCACAGAGACTTAAAACCTAGCAACCTTCTCCTCAATGCCAATTGTGACTTGAAAATATGTGATTTTGGACTAGCTCGTGTCACCTCTGAAAGTGATTTTATGACAGAATATGTCGTAACAAGGTGGTACCGTGCACCAGAATTGTTGCTCAATTCTTCAGATTACACCGCAGCTATTGATGTGTGGTCAGTGGGTTGTATTTTTATGGAATTGATGGATCGGAAGCCTTTATTTCCTGGTAGAGACCATGTGCATCAGCTCCGCTTGCTTATGGAGGTAAGTCTATATCATAATTTTGTTACGTTGTTTTTCCATTTTAAGTCAAGAATTATCTGCAACACAGAATTACATAGCAAATATTTTGCTTTTTTGGCATTTCAGAAAAAGTGTATCCAAATTTAATACTGAACAGTATTCCTTGGTTAAGAACCGTTATTTTCGTTGTTCTTTGGAGATGTCATGTCATTCAGTATATCAAAGGGGAGTCTTCTATTTTGGATCCTTCTTCAGAAGGGAAAGGAAAAGGACAAGGAAAAAGAGAAGCAAAGAATTAAGAGACCAATTAACAGAAGTTGTTCATATTAGTGTGTGTATTTGAGAACAATATTTCAATCTTTAAAGTGCAAAAGTAGAGCAATTTATCTTGAACCTAATATCTCTCTACAAATTCCTACACCTCGTACCGCTGAAGTTAAGCCTGGGTTGCTTCAGAAGAGTTTGAATGTATAATACCGAAGAGATTCTATATTACAGGATTAGTTTCCTTTTAGGGTGGATCCCCTTTCTTTTTGAGAATTGTAGAAGAAACTATCGATAATGTGACTAATTTCCATATGTCATCTTGAATAAACAGTTTGATTTTATTCCTGGCAGCTGATTGGCACCCCTTCGGAGGCTGAATTAGGGTTCTTAAATGAAAATGCTAAGAGGTACCTTAGGCAACTTCCTGTTTATGAACGACAGTCTTTCACTGAAAAGTTTCCAAATGTCCACCCGTTAGCCATTGATCTTGTTGAGAAGATGTTGACTTTTGATCCCAGACAGAGGATTACTGGTGAGTTCTTGTACAACCTTATAAGTTTAAATTGTATATTTGTGCCATCTTGTTATTAATGTTTTTAATGTACTTGTTATTAGAAAAATATTTCCTCACCTATTGACATGAATAGTTTTATTATATGTTGGACATTGGCTTCATTTACTCCTGGCACTTAAATTCCATGTTCTGCTAACCTCATGAATGTTATTGGAGTTCATCTATATGTATATATGTGTTCAAGGTTCAATTTGCTTTGGATATCAACTTGTTATTTTGCTTAATGCATTTAACATTTCATAAATGGTGTGATATACATGATTGGACCCATAAACTAAGATCTTAAGCTCTAACATGGTAATAAAGTTGTGGTCTTGTGTTAAAACTTAAAATCTTGAAACCCTCATTTGTCTACTGTAATTTATTTTCCTTTGTCCAAGTTCCACGTACTAGAACATAAAATTTGTGTATTTTGGTGCTTTGAGATTTGGCGCCATCGCTTGTAAGAAATTAGACTGCATTTCTCCTAGGAAAGTCACTTGCGTGTGCAGATATTTGTATGTAATTGGAGCATTACATCTCATATTCCATTTTGTTCAAGATTGAAAGATAGCAAGCCAACTTTGTTCTTTGATGTTACTCATGTCATGCCATGCATTCATTTCTTCTTTGACTTGGCAATTTTTGCTTTGGATTTGACACTCATGCAATACCTACTTCATGCTTGTTGCAGTTGAAGGCGCCCTAGCTCATCCGTACCTGAATTCACTCCATGACATCAGTGATGAGCCTGTTTGCATGACCCCCTTTAGCTTTGACTTCGAGCAGCATGCATTAACTGAGGAGCAGATGAAGGAGCTCATATATCGAGAGGCTCTCGCATTCAACCCTGAGTATCAGCAGCAGTGAACGAGCACACACTAGCTATTCCTTTAGCGTGGCTTTGATCAGTGTGGTTTCGTTTCTCTGTTTAAGCTAATTGTTTCTCTGTGTATACATGTGTCTCCCATCTGAGAAAGAGGTGCCCCTTGAATTTAAAATATATTTGGTTACCCGCAGAATGCAGGGACCAAGACAAGTTGTAATGTTGTTTGTATCGTTTGTTTTAATTTTCGTTGTTATTATTGACTGCTCCTCTCTAACATGGTTGAGGGATGTGAAACTAAGATTTAATGACATGAAAATGGGAAATCAATCCATGTCCCATCTACAGAAACTAAAATTTTTTTTGTTGCCATCATGACACCACAAATGGATATTCATTGACTAAACACGAAACCAGAAACAAGGACTATCAGGAGACTTGGGGTCACTGGCTAAGAACTTAAAATTCTAAGGGCTTCCATGCTTGGTGATAGTGATTAATCTTTAGCCAAATTATAGAAGTAGGTTACAGAGAAATTTCTGTAGGAAAGCCTTAATGAAACTCTTTGAAGTTTGCTCAAATTGTCAATCATTCCAGCTATAACTATGATGAAAATGCGAATTTGAGTTCCTTTTATATCAATTTGGTGTAAATAATTTTAATAAGTTATATTTGTCACTTTTAATGTAAAGTTATGCTCGATATTCACAAATTTTTTTAATATCATTTTGGTGTAAACAATTTTAATAAATTATATTTATCACTTTTAAATGTATAATTTTACGTGATGTTTGTAGACAAAACAATTTACAAATATTTGTAATATTTGTAAAATTAGTAAGACAGGTCTGAATACTCCTGTTCTTAAAAAGAAAAAAAACAGCACTAAAGAGCACAATAAAGACATAAATATGTTGTTTTATTCTTATATTGAAGAGAGTGCAATTTGTACAAATGAAACTATTGTCATATAATTCATCAAAGTGAATGAGTATTCCGCTCAAAATGGAAGATAATTGAAGTAAACAAGCTCTCAAGATGGTTAATCATCTACACATAAACTGTTCCAAGTGCACAAAAAAAATACAACTGATATTATCTTTGTCAAGGCATCAACTCTTCACGCTCTAAAAAAACCTTGAAAGCGGCACCGGACCACCATCTTCATTATCACTACTCAAGTTCTTATTTCTCGATATGTGGTTCCTTTTCTTATCTCTCTTTAACCTGGACTCCGATCTTTTGGACTCTCTCTCTTCACCATCAGAACCTGAAAATTCTGAGGATGAACTACAAGAGCTAGAGTCTGAAGACCTCCGTCTTGAATGCTGCATAAGTTAAATTACACAAATAAGGATCCAGGTTCATATTCACATGATGAAGACACATAAGGCCCAGATGAATAAAGAGAGATAAAACGAGATGAGAAGAAAAGCAAGCCAATCTCAGTTAGACTGAACCGATTCTCATTGTTCACAAACTCAACCCGAATAAATATAGAAAATAATAGGCAAGCTAAACCTATATTTGATTGCTTTAGAAAATAGAAAGTGAAAACAGCACAAAAAACTTGAGATGAATAGAAATATCTTTAACTTGTATTCTTATTTGAGAAAAAGCAAAAGAGCTGCATTTAATAGTGAAAGGAATATAATAAGAACCAGAAAGAGAACATGTCACTAAAACCAGTAGTGTGTGCATTAAGAAACTAGAGAACAGCAATTTGTAAGAGGTGACAGGTACGAAAGGCAGTAATTCAGAAATAGAAAGAATGTATCTAAAAAAGGCTACAGTCTTGCACTAAAAGTGTAATTCTCTATCAGTTATGGTCATACTGACTTCTAAGATGTCAAAAATCTCCAAGAGACAACCAGAAAATTTCCACCTTTCCTGGTCTAACCAAAATGCTGAAGATATAAGATTGCAGACCAACCCAAAGAAAAAAGAAAATATCAATTCCCCTTTCCTTTATGAATAAAGAAATTACATTTTCTTTCTCAACTAAAATTTCAATTGTTAAAATTAAAATGCATGAATTTACTGCCTCACACAGAACTACGTACCTGTCTTGCATCCAGTAATAGCATCAGGCATTAAACTGAATAATACATGAGACTCGAAGTTGGTTCCAAGATCCCAATATATAATGTCTAAGCTCTAGCATTTGATGTTTCTTTTCCAAAACCATGTGGGAAGATTATATAAATCTTATGTTCACCCACCCTTAAACTCAATCCGTTACATCATCTAATCTCCCTTTCTTAAAGTGGAACACATATCTCTATATAGGAGGGATCAAAAAAAGCACAAGATATTGACCTGGTCAATATCACATGAAAGCACAATGTAAGAGCTTAACTTATACCATGGTAATAAATATAAATAACTTGCATGATGTTTCTGATCTCATTACAACAGATGGCAAAGACTTAAAAATCTCCACTTTAATAGAGAATGTCCTCATGGCCTAATGGCCAGCTTGTAAAGGACTTCTCATGCGAAATTTGACAGGTTTGGGGTTTGAGTCCCGTCCCAATGTTCAAAAAAAAAAAAAAAAGTAATTGTGATTCACGGACTACATAGAGAAGTACTGTTATACAAACTTAACTTGAGTAAGTGACTAAAATTACACCCATTAACAGAAAACACCCATCATTCCTCATGGCGAAGGGAAAAACAC